CTAGTCATTTAGAGCTAAACAAATTGTTATGTGGTCACTAGTCTAAGTAGCCCATACATCACGTATACTGTTTAGAGATGATAGATATTTGGAGGTAGTCTTTGGAATATCCTCCTTGATCTATTTATTGTTTATGCTAGTTGCCACTGATCGTTAAGACGTAATTGCAATCTTGATATGAACTGTTGCTTCCTATGTAATTGGAAATACATTTAATGCATTCAGAATGTAGATCCATGTTAAAGTAAGAATCGAGAATAACATAAGAATTTGAAAATATTATGACACTGACTACTTCGAAGAAGTGATTTCAACTTCAGACAATAACATTTTACAATTCAAATTGAAGCATTCTAGTATTGATAGTATGCCAGTGTATATCAGGGAAACGGACTGAACACTTTACCAAATTCATTTCAGTTATTGGAATAACTGTCTTTGGTAGATTGTCAGTATTCACCAATGATCATTTGATACGAATACATATATATTTTCATATCAACATTGCAAAATGCAAATGTCAATAATATTTAAAGTATTCCATTTTGATAGTTGAAAAAGCTAATACAGAGTTTAATAGAAATAACACTAACCATTAAGCTTTCATTACACACTTTATACAATAATAACTAAAAATTTAAAAGAATGTAATGAATGAAATACATGTTAGAACATTGAAATATGTAATATGAATGACATTTGATATATATGACCAGTATATTAAGTAACTGGTTAGTGGTTTATTAGCAAGATTATTTTACAGGATGGGGTTTCCGACCCCATGACTAACACTCCTCCTTTACCTGGGCTTGGGACCAGCACTAACTCCACAAAAGCTACAGGCTGAGTCAACCACTATCAAAGTCACAGTCTTCAACACAAACGTCAAGACTGTCAGTTCTACTGTACCGAGCTGAAACTTGAACAACTACTACAACCATCAGCATGTAAGTACAAGTATTTATAAATTGTTGTCTACGTAAGACGCTCAACATTCATTGAACGGATACCATCGGCAAAAGCCTACTGTGGCAAAGAACAAACCAGCTTCCAACTGAAGATGAAATTAGAAAAAGAAGATGCAAATGGATAGGACATACATTACGCAAATCATCAAATTGCATCACAAGGCATTCCCTCACTTGGAATCCTGAAGGAAAACGGGAAAGTGTAAGGCCAAAGAACACACTTTGTCGGAAATTGGAAGCAGACATGAAAGAATGAATAGCACCTGGAAAGAACTGAGAAGGATTTCTTGGGATAGAGTTGGACGTAGAGTGCTGGTGGACGGCCTGTGATCCTCGACGAGGGGTAACATGCGTAAGTAAGTAATATTAGGTAATTAGGATGAAAAAGACTGGTTCACAGCTTGAAATACAAATAATAATAGAGAATGGAAAATGCATTGCATTATTACGTAATTTATGAATAAGTGATTTCTCAGTATATTCATACATAAATGTTGTTGTCATTTTATCATACAACTGTCATGAGAATAAGCCGATTTCTAAGAAAATCGAATTGTTAAATGTTGGTTAAGCGTCAATTTCAGGATCCATCTGTCGATCTATGATCAATGATATTCATCTATTACATGCAACTGTTGTTGTACATATTATGAATCAAACTCAATACTTTCAGTTTAAAACGTCAATACGATAATTGTTAAATTGTACGTCAAATTAGAGTTTGATTATCCAACTGTAAAAGTTCCATGACGAATGTGGCTTACTTCATACCATGGGTAAACACTATACAACTTTACCCAGACCTTCTGACTTAATCAAAATATCAGAGTAATCCTCTCGGAAAGTACATATATCAATTGAGATTGACCATTTACTGCTTTTAACATAACATAATTTGAACCATCACAAACCAATAAAATCAAACAATCATTGATACATCTTGCACTTGAACATGTTAACATTAATTGCTCAACTATTTCATAATTCCCAAAAGTCACCAACATTTGTGCTCTACAGAGGAAACATCAGCAAAATAGTATATAACAAACTGTACTTTGAAGTTTAGTTTATAAACAGAAAACAGAGGTTTCTACAAAGTTATATGTTGTCTGAGTATTCATAGTCTCAAAACGCATATTTAAGATGACTACAAGTTGGTGAATATTCAATCAATATAATGTAAACAAATAATGCATCCTTGTTTCTAGGGTGTCCATGGAACTTGATAAAGAGCGCTTGTTATTCAAAATATCTGTTGACAATCATTTAGTTCTTGAAGACGTTTCTTAAAATGTTAAAATAAATATATTTCGTATTCAACTGTTTCAAACGTTTCTTCATTCATTAAGTCCATTATAAACAATATCAGTGTAGTGCAATCAAATGTGCAGGATGAAATTCTTTTTATTGCTTCAATTTTTACAGATCTATCAATAGCTAAAATAGTAATCACCTATAAGTATATGCATAGATGGATGGCTAGCAGTGGAATCCGAGACTAGCGTTTCTTCCTATTTGGGACTCGTCAGCCGGACGAACCTGCACCTCAGAATTGATGTTCTCTCCGAGGCTCGATCTCAGCACCGTTCACTTCAAACGTTGTCGTGTTATCTACTTCGAGCCCCAGAGTGAACATCAACTCTGAGGTGCAAATACATCCAGCTGATAAGTCCCAAATAGGATGAAACACCTGTCCTCGATCCCACTTCTAGCCACTATCCATCTTTGCATATAAGGCTTGTGAATTAATGCAATATCGAGGTAATACGCACAATATGCACATATACTAATAAGAGACTGATCAATCACTGTCCTAAACATCGATGGGATGATTCAAACAAACAATACCAAGTGAATTAAGCCATCAGTCAATCCAGAAATCTCTAATAATATACCTGAATGATGCTGAGGAGTTTATCAATTAAGTAAATAGATAAATACTGTTATTCAACGACAAAATAATCGATAAAGTAATTTTGAAAGTAACAAACGCAATGGAAGTAGTTTCACTATGATAAACAAACTAGGCATCTCATTCATAAAGATTATCAAACCTTCTATGAAATATAATGCAGTTGAAAATAACTCAAAAGCTGTAGTAGGACAATAAAGATGGAAATACTCATGTAACAAATAGTAATAGAATAACAAAACAAACATAATCAGTGAATCAATGGAGTAATCGAGAATTCATGTTTATCGTGAGCGAATTGTGAAACTTGCTATTTTAAATCATGGTACTTATTAATGAAAAGTAGTGTGATGTTAAGTTTGCTGTAAAAATGAAACAATCATTGTAAAATTCGATTGAATTTCTTAAATAGAACTAGAAAGAATGAAGGATGAAAATGAAAAGAAGTTCAAGTTGAATGATTTTAATTAGGATGTGCCTTCATTTTTTTATTTACTGATTGCTTGCTCGATCTTCCATCAACAAATACAGCTGAGTTAAGTAAATGAAGTAAATAAATGTATTGGAACCTGATTCTTCCTCTCCTCATTCATTCGAAATGAATGAATTGCTACTACACACATAACGATTGTCTATGTTCAGTAGTGTTACAATACATCATTCTAGATGTGAAGCTGTTCACTCTAAATAACGGGATGAAAATCACATCAACACAGTACTGCAATGATACGTCTGCGTAATTTCGGATATTCTGTATTGAAAACTACATCAAATAACATCTATCATGGTGTAGTCTGCATTCGGTCTGTTTCACGTCCCTCATCATTTGTTCATACCGAACATTTTAACCTAATGTTTATGTGAAGATGTCACGTGATGTTGATATTACTAATACACACACAATTTTATAAACTATCATTTCTTGTATGTTATCTAGTACCCAATTGTGCTGTTTAACTTTATAGAAGCAATTTCACCGTACTTGTTATGCAAAAATATTTCATTATCTTAACTCTTGATATCAATACTACATACATAATTTTACAAACTATCATTTCTTGTATATTTTCTACTATTCTATTGTGCTTCACAGTCAGAGACATTACAACTGAGCTATCCGAGCGGTGACTAACCTCCTGTAGGACTGAGATGTAATTACAATTGATTGATTACTGGGTGGTGATCAATGTGTTGCTTGTCTACTCCTTATTAGTGCAGATCGAATGCTATCGATCATGTTGCAATGTGGCCACCAGTCTAGGTCACTCGACACTGCGGGCACTATGTATTGAGATTTAGATGGTGGTTGGAGGTAGTCAACAGGAAACCCTGGAACCGGGTTTTGTGCTACTTGGGACTTGTCTGGTCTATTATTCTATTTTGCTGCTGAACTTTGAAGAAGCAATTTCACCGTACTGTTTAGCATAAATATTTCATTTTCTTGTAATGAAATTTTAAGTTGTATTTGCTCACATACAAATCATTCACTGAACATACATATTTCCCACTCTATGGGGAATTTCGTCTATCCGACGAACATTTTATCGAAACTGATTTAACAAAAACGATATACTTATGCATGATCAGGTAGTTAGTCTTTATAAAGATTCATAGTTTCTCAAACGAAAATATAATTAAACTAGACATAATAATGTTGTGTACAGCGAATAGGAGAATTTAGTTGAATTACATGTTTAATATTGAATGAAGTGATTATTGTGACTAGTTACATTGATGAGCTGAATGAACGTGAAATCCAGTCAACACACAACACACAATACACATACAAAGATGAAATAATCAACACATAGTGAACGTATTCATTAAATGTATCATTCCAATGACCCTTGCCAACATCGTTTCTCACTCACCACACGAATTACAAAACACAAAACAATATGATTTGAATGAAATATATTGAATTATAAGTTATGACTAATTGCTACACACACAGATATAGTTGAGTAATATCAACACAAAATAGTCCTGCATATCAATAGAAGTAAGTAATGAGTATAAATTCAGAGAAAGGTTTGCGTTACAGAAGTGAAACCGCAGTTGAAAAACAGATACGTGGAATAGATATGGAGGCACCAATTATATATGCCGAATGAATTCAATCATTTTCTATATCGCACAATTCTACGATTATGCTGACCTTGTACATAGTCAAGACCACTCCCACCACGATCGCTCATAGAAAATTCTTGTCGGTTTCCCGTTCGGGATATCCATATAACCTGTGTATTGCGACCATTATGATGCAAATTATTCATAGGAATACGTTGACCGTTTAGAACAACTCTCCTTCCACTTGAACCGGCCGATGACAATTTGGGGTTTACATTCACTATTGATAATGGTGCACGCTGTGTATTATCACGCATCGTTCGAAATCTGTCTTTAGGAATATTCTGCATTTTTGGGCACAATTCACGTGATTTCACTTCATATGGTTTCTCTCTATTCCAATTACCACTAAAACAGTCAACACAATAGAAATCATCAGTTACATTCACTATGAGAACAACAACAAGGTGATTGCAAACAATGTTATTTATTCTCACATCATCAAGAGCAATCACTTACCCTGGACCATAATTACACACGATTGATAGACCGTATTTTGGACAACTCGCAACTCCACATCCAATGTCTGTGGTCTTGGCCCAAGCCATCTGAAACGGAATGGGAACAAGGAAATAATGTGATCGTTCGTTAGGCCGATTGCAAGGCATTTCCACTATGTTTCAACATGACCTGTGTGTAAATATATTACTTGTGAATGATGGAGATAATGTTGTCAACTGAAGGAGATACACGTGGAAATGCCAGTATGTGTTGAATGAGTATGTTTACACTTGGTGCAGTTATGATAACTAGTTGAATTTTACAGAACACACACACACTCACTCAATCAATCAATCAATCAATCACTATCTCACTCACTCACTCACCACTCATTCTGTCTCATGTCAACCAACAGTCGAAATCATCTCACCCATCACAACATCGTCATCTTCTATCTATACACAATGAATTTCTGTTGAGTACATTGCGATATTGTGTTTGTGTGTTGACACTGGTGTTGACAGATTGATTAGGATTTGAATGCACTCGTCAGTCTTAGTACATGCTGATCAGAGACAAATTTCCGATCTGTTGTTTTCCACCAAATCACCTCAACTCTCAACAAAACACACAAACTCAAATATGATCAAGTGTTGTGGATACCTGTGTGCACAACTGCAATGATCGGATTACGTGCATTCACATGTGTTTTTCAGTCACTTCTGTAGATAAGTGAAACCACTTGATTGTTATCACACATTCGTGGTGCATTATAATAGGTGTGAATGGTGAGTGGCAAATGACTGTGGTTATGTTGAACGATGTAGAAGTGGATGAGAATGGACTTACTTGTGTGTAATGCAAACATTCCATACAGTCGTTGTGATTGTAGTTGTATAAATTGTGCTCATTGAACCAAGCATCTACTCCTCTGAATGAGAAAACAGTGAATTGAATAGAAATGAGCTTACGACTTAATGGTTGGATGGAGAGCAATATTTTGTCCAACCCAATCGAATTCATGCGATTGAAGTATATCGTGTTCAAAAGAGCAATTTTTTGCCAATTTTTGTGCATGTGCAGCCAGATTGTAATTCCATTTCTACAAATAAACGTTATGTATATTATTTGAAGAAATTATTGAATAGTGAGTGACTTACCAATGGTGACATATATTTAGCTGGAGGTTGTCCATCAACTTTGCAATCAACTAAATCCTGTCTGTAATTGTTATGTAATTTGAGTATTTCGAGGCTTTTCCCATCCATCGTTCTTTGCAAACCTCTAAGTCGTTGATCGTGAATTCTACTTCCACTTGAACCGGCCGATGACAATTTGGGGTTGACATTCACTATTGATAATGGTGCACGCTGTGTATTATCACGCATCGTTCGAAAACTGTCTTTAGGAATATTCTGCATTTTTGGGCACAATTCACGTGATTTCACTTCATATGGTTTCTCTCTATTCCAATTACCACTAAAACAGTCAACACAATAGAAATCATCAGTTACATTCACTATGAGAACAACAACAAGGTGATTGCAAACAATGTTATTTATTCTCACATCATCAAGAGCAATCACTTACCCTGGACCATAATTACACACGATTGATAGACCGTATTTTGGACAACTCGCAACTCCACATCCAATGTCTGTGGTCTTGGCCCAAGCCATCTGAAACGGAATGGGAACAAGGAAATAATGTGATCGTTCGTTAGGCCGATTGCAAGGCATTTCCACTATGTTTCAACATGACCTGTGTGTAAATATATTACTTGTGAATGATGGAGATAATGTTGTCAACTGAAGGAGATACACGTGGAAATGCCAGTATGTGTTGAATGAGTATGTTTACACTTGGTGCAGTTATGATAACTAGTTGAATTCTACAGAACACACACTCACTCACTCAATCAATCAATCAATCACTATCTCACTCACTCACTCACCACTCATTCTGTCTCATGTCAACCAACAGTCGAAATCATTTCACCCATCACAACATCGTCATCTTCTATCTATACACAATGAATTTCTGTTGAGTACATTGCGATATTGTGTTTGTGTGTTGACACTGGTGTTGACAGATTGATTACGATTTGAATGCACTCGTCAGTCTTAATACATGCTGGTCAGTGACAAATTTCCGATCTGTTGTTTTCCACCAGATCAGCTCAAGTCTCAACAAAATACACAAACTCAAATATGATCAAGGTTGTGGATACCTGTGTGCATAACTGCAATGATCGGATTACGTGCATTCACATGTGTTTTTCAGTCACTTCTGTAGATAAGTGAAACCACTTGATTGTTATCACACATTCGTGGTGCATTATAATAGGTGTGGACGGAGAGTGGCAAATGACTGTGGTTATGTTGAACTATGTTGAAGTGGATGAGAATGGACTTACTTGTGTGTAATGCAAACATTTCATACAGTTGTTGTGATTGTAGTCGTATAATTCGTGCTCATTGAACCAAGCATCTACTCCTCTGAATGAGAAAACAGTGAATTGAATAGAAATGAGCTTACGACTTAATGGTTGGATGGAGAGCAATATTTTGTCCAACCCAATCGAATTCATGCGATTGAAGTATATCGTGTTTAAAGGAGCAATTTTTTGCCAATTTTTGTGCATGTGCAGCCAGATTGTAATTCCATTTCTACAAATAAACGTTATGTATATTATTTGAAGAAATTATTGAATAGTGAGTGACTTACCAATGGTGACATATATTGAGCTGGAGGTTGTCCATCAACTTTACAATCAACTAAATCCTGTCTGTATTTTGTATGCAGTTCGAGTATTTCTCTACTATTCGAATCCAATCGTTTGTTGCACGATGCACTTTTACAAAGGAGCAATATAATGGATAATATAGATGAAAGACATAGAATGTTTAATCGCATGTTTGTTGAAGTCTGTTCTTGATTATGCATTATAAAATGCTTTACGTATATATATATACTCATATTCCTGATAATTAAAGCGACTAAAAGGTGAATAATTAATATGTGTGAAATTTAGTGTGCAATAGCTATCAGGATATTTAGAATATTCACAAGAATTACTCTCTTCTAGGTCAGTCAATCACTCAAACCGAACGTCACTCACATACCGCATATTATCTTTTGTTCCGATTGAAATTCTCTATACATAGACATTAAATGAGTTGTGTGAACCTATTGAAAAATAAACGCATTAGATCTAATGTCTGTCTATTGTGATCAATTGAGTCCGTCACATACAACTGATTATTGACATTTGTCATCGTGAACACTGCACCGATCACATTGTTTGTGAAATAATCTATCTATCTATCTATCTATCCATCTATCTCTCTATCCATCTATCTATCAATCCATCTATCTATCTATCTATCTATCTATCTATCTATCTATCTATCCACACATCCATTAATCCATCTTTTTATAGTGATGTACTATCACAGATTGACAACACAATTTACTCTCCTCTTGATTATGTAGTTGGTTTCATATCTTCACTCATTCCATTATTCTCTTAACCAAATCAGAATTTCCACTACGTCAAAAGTATTGAACAGTCCACACTCATCAGATAATATTTGACATTTCACAATGATCTGATCATTCGATTTATTTATGTCTAATGTAATCAGGCATTTTGTATGGTGTATTTCATTTCATTCATTAGAAATTTCTCGATCGCTATCGTGTTTTACTACACTCACGCATCCTGATCAAATGTTAGCTCATGACATGTAGTAATATCACTGTTGCAATTATGTTAATCCTTCTTCCACACTCTCTTCACACTCCTATGGTGACTTCAATAAGACTAATGATTTACCATTTTTAATCTTATCACATTTATGCTTCAAGCGTCAATGGAGTCCCGTCAACTCCAACTAAATTGTTGCTTACTCAAAATGAGTGTTATTGTTTAATTGACATGTCGTTGCATATACTTCAAGTTCTTATACAACTTTGGACATCATTGATTGTGTTGCCCAATAGTACGCCATTATTCATCATCAATGTGCAATTGTATTTCTATTACAGCAGAATGATATATTCTCTTGTAATGTTTGTGCCATCATATATTGTAACACTGAGGTGTTTACACAAGCGAATCACTCATATCATGCATGCTTATTACAGTTTGTCAATGTATCTTTTCTATGATTGGTGATATTTCTCACATTTCCATGTCATCGAATCGGCATCTAAATGTAAGCTGTTTAGGTAATAAGGTTTTGAACTGTATATTGATATCAACAACAGAATGCACCTAACAAATATTCTGTTAGGATTATATACGGATCCCACATTCCGTAATCAGTGATAGTTGAAAATACGTGTAATACATGTAACTCTGTAGCTCCTCGGAAGTTCGTATTGGGTAGGAAGGTGGGTGTTTAGTTCTTGTGTGAGCTCTCTCTCTGTAGGATATTCTCTGGAGGTTTCGAAATGAGTACCAGTCTGGGTGTGATGTCGTTTGCTTCAACTTGTGATGACATGATCCATGTCATCCTATTCTAACTAATATTGCTTCATGAAGATCATCACCTTACAAAATCTCCATTTATTACTTCTTTCGTTTGTCCACTTACTATCGCTGTGATCATCTGACCCGTTTCATACACCGATATTAACTTGACTATTCGAAGTAAGTCAGATATTTGTTCATTGTCTTATTACACTTCATATGTTTAGGCTGTTTACAGAAGATGAAAATCGGTGAATAGGATGGATTCATTTTCTACTAAAAATGTCATTGTCATTGGACTGTCTGAGTGATTAGATGAAACATCCGTTTTCGTAGTAAATATCACTAGAATTTGCAGATAATTTGCCTCCCACATTGCAAGCACAACACTGTCGAACATTTTACTATTCAGATAGATGATTTGTCGACCAAAAATAATTTGTGTCTAAATTTGAAATTTCCTCTATTCATTGTGAAGACGGATTAGATTGACACATTAATGGTAGAATGTGTGTCATTCCCGTCATCTTAGTAAGCCATGATGGATTGCGTGTTTATTTCTGTATGTGATGTTCAAATGACAATTGAGTCACAATAGATACTGTCTCAATTCGCTCAAATATTCCTGATTACACCACGTTTATATTGTTGAAAATGCTTATTGTGAGCCAGACCAAATTTTCCTTGATCTTCCATCATGATGTGAAGGTAGTGATTTGATTATGCAACAGACTTTTAAGTTCTTATTGCCATGAAGAGTGAATTCATCAGTTTCTAAATTCATTTCGGTTTCACATTATTTATCGTATGGTAACTTTGATAAATAACATTGATTCTAGCATTGAACTGTTCTATTATTGGTTGAAATACAGTTTTCAATCACATTTTTGTTTGTAAACTTCATTTGAATGTTAGCTTCAGTTGTAGAGTGTTATCAGTGTTCTGGACTGCCAATGAACAGATATTATTCAACCTAATCTTGTATGTATAACCGTAAATGTAACTTTACTATTGTATCCCACCAAACAGCCAATACATTACGATTAACAGATAGATGTACAATAGAAACTGTAACTTCAGATACGTTAACCCATATGATTTAATGGAATAACTAGTAGGATAAAAGTAAGTTCAAATACAATGAAGTGATAAGTGTATAAAAGGAACAATCATGTTGGTTTCAAGCGATATTCCATAGTTCATATGGTAATTAGTTTGAAATGACATCGTATTCATAAAACGTATCATATGTTGCTTGTATTTATTACATAAGACATTTCGAACTGTTAATACAAGTGAGGGAATAATGTAGCTCATTATATTCGTGTTCATGTCATTCAACCTTGTATTATAGAGATCTATGATCCATAGTTCATGGAATCAAATATTCGTTTGTTTGTTTGTTGTTTTAAAATCAGAAGCCATATTCGGATAACCAATCTATTGTTGATTATGAATGATGATTACATTGTATTAAGTATTCAATGGATGATTGTGTTAGTTTATTATACAAGCTGGAAATTTGTTAAATGTTTATTTCTGAGTGGCATAATTATAAATGTAAATCCCTCATTCGATTGTGGACTATGTTCAATTCAATCTTCAATCTACACATGGAGCATATTTTTGGTTCAATCACTCTTCGACAATCGTGATAAGATGATTTGTATGATGATCTATTGGTATCCTACTACATGGTTCGAACGGTTGTATTCATGGTCATTCCGACATAGAGGAGAAGTGTAAATTTAATGTAGCTGTGTTTCTAATTGTAAATTAGTGTCAATTTGTTCATGTTTGAAATGTTAAAAAATATTTCATCGTTAGTCTGATAACAACTTGTTGGTGCAAAACACTTAAATCAATACCAGCATATACATGTTAGTAACACTGACATAATTCCTGATTTGACTTCATCTACAACACCCGTTTACCAACTTCACATGTTCTATTTTATACTAATGTGATCATTTCAACTGATTAGACAGTAGTTTGTTTGACTGGAAAGATTGTGTATATAAAAAAAAGCGACTGCACAAGGACAATGATTCGAGTGTATTCGAGTGGCGGTGGATTGTAAAATTTAGTTAAATATATCATGGCTATTTAGGGAACTTATATTTACGAAACAGATTGGTGGTGATATCTACCTTCATTTTAGTGATTTTTACCATTCTTCTATATGTCAAGCCTCTCGGACCATTTATCTCATATCCATATATATTCTAATCAATTTCATGTCTGAATATTGTTCTAATAACCTGAAGATATTTCGAAGCTTCTTCTTCTTCAACAATAGGATTATATTGTTTATCATCTATTAATAAACACCTCTCCTATTCCAGTAAGCATCAGATTACATAATAAATAACATACTACTTATTTCACAATAATCTATGCACTGACAATCAAAATCAATCAACATTGGTATTCAATGAATTATTTAATACTTCACATATTCACATGAATTACTCTCTTCTAGGTCAGTCAATCACTCAAACCGAACGTCACTCACATACCGCATATTATCTTGTGTTCCGATTGAAATTCTCTATACATAGACATTGAATGAGTTGTGTGAACCTATTGAGAAATAAACACATTAGATCTAATGTCTGTCTATTATGATTGAATGAATCCCTTACATACAACTGATTATTGACATTTGTCATCGTGAACAATGCACCGATCACATTGTTTGTGAAATAATCTTACGGAATTTCACAATATTGAGCCTAATTACACTTTGTGACCAAAATATCTGTTCACACATCTATCTATCCACACATCCATCTATCTGTCTATTTATAGTGGTGTACTATCACAGATTGACATCACAAATTACTCTCCTCTTGATTATGTAGTTGCTTTCATATCTTCACTCATTCCATTATTCTCTTAACCAAATCAGAATTTTCACTACGTCAACAGTACTGAACAGTCCACACTCATCAGATAATATTTGACATTTCACAATGATCTGATCATTCGATTTATTTATGTCTAATGTAATCAGGCAATTTGCACGTTGAATGTCGTTACATTCATCGGGTTAGATTCTTTTACCAACTTTTACCGGTTCAGTTGTTTGCTTACTATCAATTATTTCAAAATTACAATGCTTTCCCATTTTGATGGGTAGTAATGTTTGCGTTAGTATAAATCGATTTTTATCGGTTAAGCATCAAGTCCCAAACAATCTACTTGAAGGAGCATGAGAATCGTTCCATAATCGATTAAATACTGAAAATGGTAGATATGATTTTAAAAAAAGATTTAGTCAACGACTATTTTTCAGATGTGTTAATTCATACTTAGACCACATATTACATAACGATTGTTAATTTACCCATCAAGCTTTATCTATTAACATAAATTTACGTTGACTTTACATTTCTCTTACTTTGTATAGTACTCAAATGATCTAGTAAAATTGTCACTTGACAATTTATAACAAATTTTACTGCTACTCTCTTTAATGACTTTTGTGATTCAAAGAGTTATATACAAGAAGAAGATGTCTTTCAATAAATTCTCATCTTATTCTGTAGTTATATATCCAAATTAATAATAAATAACAATAGTATGTAGATATAGCATAGAACTAGAAACGAAGATCCATGACAGAGTGGGTTGGAGAATGTTTATCGGTGGCCTATACTCCATAAGTAAACAAAGGAGTAAAAGTATGCAAATGTAGGAGTATTTGTAAAATGTATTAGAATTTTAACATTCATATATCTTGAATGAAATAAAAAAAAAACTTGAATAGTACTGGATTATGCAATAAAAACAACAAGATTTTAATTTATTAGTAATGGTTGTTTAAATCTTCTCATTGACGTTTAAGATTATCTAATATGTATTTTATTCAAATTATCTCGTTATTGCCATTCAGTCACAAGGATTGTAAATGGGGATAGATGATGATTAGTGATAGTGTATGAATATTATTTGACCGATTAAAAAATGTGTGATGATCAGGAGTATTTGAATTACAGTATGAACTAAGAATCCCAGAAATAACGTAATCGGATAAAAAAAATACTAGATAACCACAAACGAACGAACTGTATTTAAAATTCGAAATCAAGCATTCAACAAGTAAAGAGGTATCATTATAAGCAAAGATGGATAGTGGATAGCAGTGGAATCCATGACGCGTGTTTCGTCCTGTTTGGGACTCGTCAGTTGGATCTACCTGCATCTCAGAGTTGATGTTCACTCTGGGACTCGAACTCAGTACCGTTCGCTTCAAACACCATCGGGTTATACACTTAGCTACTGAGTCCTGATAACCACTTGCTTATTCAATGGGGTGTAGTCGCGTCCTGGATTCCACGCTAGCCACTATCTATCTTTGCTTATAATGCTTGTAAATTAAGGCAATATCGAGGCATACGCACAGTATGCACATATGCCAATAAGAAACTGATCAATTTCAGTCCTAAAACATCAATGGGAAGATTCAAGTAAAACATAATCAAGTGAATTAATGGTATCATTAGTTCATTCATACACCACAAAATGATTTGAGACAATTTATAAATTCATATGGCTGTTTGTTATGAAACGAAAATGGAAAAGTTTGAATTATATAGAATGATAACTATCTAATTTTTCAGCCTAATTATGATACGGAATTCATTTAGACATTAAATAAATAACGATTGCTGAAATATTGTTTTGCAAAAAGAAGAAGGAAAACAAAATACATTTTGTATTATTTAGTATATATATTGCATTACTGAGAATTGTCCAAATGAGGACAACATTGAATCAATGAAAAATATCATAACAAATAGAATCATTCATTAATGTATTTGGCTCAAATGAAGTGTTATTAAACATTTTAATATTCATAGGATTTCCATCATTTGAACTATTAACCATACCCAGTGAAATGGTTTGCCCATTCAACACATTTGATACAGTAAATTCATCCAACTGACCAATTGTTGATGAAACAAACCTCGCATTGTTCGTATTTTCAGCACGTGGGCACAACTCACGTGATTTCACTTCATATGGTTTCTCTCTATTCCAATTACCACTAAAACAGTCAACACAATAGAAATCATCAGTTACATTCACTATGAGAACAACAACAAGGTGATTGCAAACAATGTTATTTATTCTCACATCATCAAGAGCAATCACTTACCCTGGACCATAATTACACACGATTGATAGACCGTATTTTGGACAACTCGCAACTCCACATCCAATGTCTGTGGTCTTGGCCCAAGCCATCTGAAACGAAATGGGAACAAGGAAATAATGTGATCGATCGGTAGGCCAATTGCAATGCATTTCCACTATGTTTCAACATGACCTGTGTGTAAATACATTACTTGTGAATGATGGAGCTAATGTTGTCAACTGAAGGAGATACACGTAGAAATGCCAGTATGTGTTGAATGAGTATGTTTACACTGGGTGCAGTTATGATAACTAGTTGAATTCTACAGAACACACACTCACTCACTCACTCAATCAATCAATCAATCAATAAATCACTATCTCACTCACTCACTCACCACTCATTCTGTCTCATGTCAACCAACAGTCGAAATCATTTCACCCATCACAACATCGTCATCTTCCATCTATACACAATGAATTTCTGTTGAGTACATTGTGATATTGTGTTTGTGTGTTGACACTGGTGTTGAAAGATTGATTAGGATTTGAATGCACTCGTCAGTCTTAGTACATGCTGTTCAGAGACAAATTTCCGATCTGTTGTTTTCCACCAAATCACCTCAACTCTCAACAAAACACACATACTCAAATATGATCAAGTGTTGTGGATACCTGTGTGCATAACTGCAATGATCGAATTACGTGCATTCACATGTGTTTTTCAGTCACTTCTGTAGATAAGTGAAACCACTTGATTGTTATCACACATTCGTGATGCATTATAATAGGTGTGGACGGAGAGTGGCAAATGACTGTGGTTATGTTGAACGATGTAGAAGTGGATGAGAATGGACTTACTTGTGTGTAATGCAAACATTCCATACAGTTGTTGTGATTGTAGTTGTATAATTCGTGCTCATTGAACCAAGCATCTACTCCTCTGAATGAGAAAACAGTGAACTGAATAGAAATGAGCTTACGACTTAATGGTTGGATGGAGAGCAATATTTTGTCCAACCCAATCGAATTCATCCGAATGACGTTTGTCATGTTGCAATATGCATTTGTTCGCCAATGTTTGTGCTTGTGCAGCCAGATTGTAATTCCATTTCTACAAATAAACGTTATGTATATTATTTGAAGAAATTATTGAATAGTGAGTGATTTACCAATGGTGACATATATTTAGCTGGAGGTTGTCCATCAACTTTACAATCAACTAAATCCTGTCTATATTTTTCATGCAAATCGAGTAACTCTCTACTCTTCGCATCTAAGCTACTATTCGCATAAATCATATTAACAAGAATGATTATTATATGTACGACATGTGTTGCATTCTTTATACGTAAGTACATTATGATAGTTTTTTTTAATCTGCTCATGGTTTTCTGAATAGTTCATATTTATATATATAATCTGTATGTCATTTAATCTTCATTCACTACCTATATGACATTTTTGTATCCATGAATGGCAGTTTCTTTCTTCCCATTACAGTTTTTCAATAACGACTGATTAAAAATGCTTTATTTAATTCCATTGGAAATATCCTTTTTATTATAAATGAGTTACATGGATATGAATAATGTCAATCATATGATATACTTACAGGTTTGAATCTAAAATTTATTTTAAGTTGAAATGATTGAAACTTCCATAGTTTGAATAAATACTCATTTCTATTCAGATCACATTACAAAATTATTCAAAAAGGAGTAAGTCTGAGGAAAAACGTTTCTTCTGGTTTTGAGACATTCGAGAACTGTGCAAAAAAAACTTGCCGAAAATTAAATCAATTTCTAGGTGTTTCATTAATTACTAATAATTATTTACACTTTGAAAAGCCAATTACACGTTGCGCATAATCATAGATCTGTTGAAGTTAAACATTAACACCGTTGGATGTTAGCTCAGTGGTCTAGTGAATGAACGTTCATGTACAACACACAAGGTCCTGATTCCGAGTACCTCATTAGGAGTCGTGCACATGCACTGTTGAAGATTCACATACTATGACGAAACAGGTTCACAGTTCTGATCTAGCTTAGATCGACATATGAATTTAACTATTACAGTACTATAATCTCCACAAATCACCATTCTGATAAATTTATTTCAGTTCACATATTGCTTAGTGGCATAGAATGTCACACATTGCTAATTTCAATGAATAAACACAATCTATCAAACACATTCGTCCAAACTAATATTGTTGTAATGTACACAAATCTTCGTTGGATTTACAGAAACGCAAAGAAACTATGAAAGTAAATTCAACATTCTTCCTGTTAATTAAAACTAGTTCAAGCATAATTACCTCACAATAATTGGCTCAGAGTATAATCATGTGAACTTCGCCTGGAGTCCCTCCGGGGGCTACTGCCGGTCCCAAGCCCGGATAAAGGAGGAGGGTTGGGCATGGGGTTAGCGTCCCCATCCCGTAGAAAACTAACTCGCTAAAAAAACGCTAACCAGGAAGTTACGAGGCCGATGCCCCTTCTGACAACCAGAGCGACTATTTATTTAGGTACATGGAATGTTCGTACAATGTGGGACACCGGGAGAGCCTTCCAAATTGCTGCAGAAATGAGAAGATACAACCTAGAGGTACTTGGGATCAGTGAAACACATTGGACGCAAGTTGGACAACAACGACTAACTTCAGGAGAGCTTCTGTTATACTCCGGCCATGAAGAAGAAAATGCCCCACATACACAAGGAGTTGCATTGATGCTGTCCAAATAAGCGCAAAATGCGCTTATAGGATGGGCATCTCATGGACCTAGGATCATCAAAGCCTCGTTCAAAATAACAAAGGAAGGCATTACAATGAATATCATCCAATGCTATGCGCCTACCAACGACTACAATGAAGACGCGAAAGATCAATTCTACAATAGGCTGCAGTCAATCGTCGAGAAGTGCCAAACAAAGGACCTGACCATTCTGATGGGAGATTTCAATGCCAAGGTTGGAACGGACAACACTGGATATGAAGACATCATGGGACGACATGGACTGGGAGAAAGAAACAAAAATGGTGAGAGATTTGCAAACCTATGTGCCTTTAATAAACTGGTCATAGGTGGCACCATTTTCACACATAAACGCATTCACAAAACCACATGGACTTCATAGGATAACACCACGCGAAACCAAATGGACCAGATTTGCATCAAAAAAACTTTCAGGAAGAGTATAGACGACGTGAGAATCAAGAGAGGAGCTGATATAGCATCAGATCATCACTTGCTGGTCGCCAAGATGAAATTGAAACTCAAGAAGCACTGGACAATAGGGCAGAAAATATCACAAAACTTCAATATGGCTTTTCTTCGGGATACTGACAAACTCAACGAATTCAAGATAATCCTCAGCAAAAAGTTCCAGGCTTTTTATGATCTACTCAATGGAGAAGGAACTACTATGAAGAGTAACTGGAAGGGGATCAAACAAGCAATCACTTCAACATGTCATGAGGTCCTGGGTCACAAGAAGCATCATCACAAGGAATGGATCACTGTTGATACACTGGATAAGATTCAAGAAAGAAGGAACAAGAAAGCAGCAATCAATACCAGTCGAACAAGAGCAGAAAAAGCCAAAGCACAAGCTGAATACACAGAAGTAATCAAACAAGTGAAGAGGAGTATCAGAATCGACAAACGTAAATATGTGGAAGATTTAGCAACGACGGCGGAAAAGGCTGCAAGAGAAGGGAACATGAGACAAGTGTATGACACGACAAAGAAACTCTCTGGAAATCGCCGCAAAGCTGAATGACCAGTGAAAAGCAAGGAAGGCGAGGTAATCACCAACATTGAAGAGCAACAAAACAGGTGAGTAGAACACTTCAAAGAACTCTTGAATCGACCAGCTCCACTGAACCCACCCAACATCGAAGCAGCACCCACGGACTTCCCAATCAACGTTGGCCCACCAACAATTGAAGAAATCAGCATGGCAATCAGACAAATCAAGAGTGGCAAAGCAGCAGGACCAGACAACAATCCAGCAGAGGCACTGAAAGCAGACGTAGCTGTAACTGCAAGGATACTCCACATTCTCTTCAATAAGATTTGGGATGAGGAACAAGTACCAACAGACTGGAAAGAAGGACTTTTGATCAAAATACCGAAGAAAGGCGATCTCAACAAGTGTGATAACTACAGGGGCATCACTCTTCTCTCAGTATCAGGAAAAGTCTTCAAAAGAGTATTGTTAAACAGGATGAAGGACTGAGTAGACGCCCAACTTCGTGACCAACAGGCAGGATTCCGTAAGGATAGATCGTGTACAGACCAAATCGCAACTCTACGGATCATTGTGGAACAATCAATTGAATGGAATTCATCACTCTACATCCACTTCATTGACTACGAAAAGGCATTTGATAGCGTGGACAGGACAACACTATGGAAGCTTCTTCGACAATACGGCGTGCCTCAAAAGATAGTCAATATCATACAGAGTTCATATGATGGATTAAACTACAAAATCGTGCATGGAGGACAGTTGACAAAGTCGTTCGAAGTGAAGACCGGTGTTAGGCAAGGTTGCTTACTCTCACCCTTTCTCTTTCTCCTGGTGATCGACTGGATCATGAAGACATCAACATCTGAAGGGAAGCATGGGATACAATGGACATCTAGGATGCCGTTGGACGATCTAGACTTCGCACACGATCTGGCCCTTCTATCCCAAACGCAACAACAAATGCAGGAGAAGACGAACAGTGTAGCAGCAGCCTCAGCAGCAGTAGGTCTCAATATGCACAAAGAGAAAAGCCAGATTCTCCAATACAACACAGCATGCACCAATCCAGTCACAATTGACGGAGAAGATTTCGAAAATGTAAAACCCTTTACATATTTGGGCTGTATCATTGATGAACATGGTGGATCTGACGAGGATGTGAAAGCGCGGATCGGCAAAGCAAGAGCAGCATATTTACAACTGAGGAACATCTGGAACTCAAAGCAACTGTCAACCAACACCAAGGTCAGGATTTTCAATACAAATGTCAAGACAGTTCTACTGTATGGGGCGGAAACCTGGAGAACTACGAAAGCCATCATCCAGAAGATACAAGTGTTTATTAAGAGCTACCTACGCAAAATACTTCAGATCCGTTGGCCGGACACTATCAGCAACAAAGAAAGAACAAACCAGATCCCAGAAGAGGAAGAAATCAGGAAGAAGCTGTGGAAGTTGATAGGACACACATTGAGGAAAACACCCAGCTGCGTCACGAGACAAGCCCCTACATAGGTTTCTCAAGGCCAAAGAAAAAGATAAAGACCAAAGAACACATTGCGTCGGCTAATGGAGATAGATATGAGAAAAATGAACAAGAATTGGAAAAGAACTGGAAAGGAACAGTGTAGGTTGAAGAATACTGGTCGGCAGCCTATGCTCCCTTAGGAGCAACAGGCGTAAGTAAGTTAGTAAAGGGATATAAATCTAAAGTCATGCAAACTACTGGCAGGTGTTATTTTATCAGAAACTAACCATCCCCTTCACTCTTATCTTTCGCCTTGTATATCTTCCAGTAGAACGAGACGTAATTACATTAAAATCCATGCACGCAAGCAAAAGTATAAAAGTTCTATAATACTTTACCTAGCAAATATACTGTGTGACGAACAGGTTTTTAAAGTTAACCTAGTCAATAACCTGCATTCTTAACGTGTCTCTAATTTGAAAAAATTGTTCAGTTTTTCGGATTTCTTTTTTTTTAAACCTTATTTTTCCTTTTTTTTGTCCTTGTTACTATTTTTTCTGCGTAAGTAATTCTATATTGTACCAAAATATAATATTGAATAGAGGCATTAATAATAATAATAATAATAATAATAATAATAATAATAATAATAATAATAATAATAATAATAATAATGATAATAATATATTCGAGTCGATTTCATATCTCAACATTGTTCAAGACGTATGTTTCAAAACATCTGAATTACAATGATAATTCTTATAACCTGAAGACATTTCGAAGCTTCTTCTTCTTCTTCAACAATAGGATTATATTGTTTATCATTTATATTAATAAACAGCATCATGTAGCGGTAAATAAATCCCCAAAATAAATAGCTCTGTAAGTTTTCGACATTGGATGCTGACCATCTATTTTAGTGGACTCATCTAGCTGAAAGCGCTCGGTCATGCATCCGCACCAGATCACGTGTGGTAACGCTGTGCTCAACATCTATCGCAATCGCTAGCCAGATTAGATCAGAAAATTCCGATATATTGGTTATCGCCAAATACACTCATCCAATCTCCT